TGCTGAAACTGCAATTGCTTTGACCACGATCTATGACCTGGATCTATATTCTGCTAGTACAAGTGCAGAAAGAATCAAAAACGTGCATGGCCATGTGAAGCAAGCAGTCAGATTAAGTGTCCCTGCCTCTGGGTAACTGTCTGCTCCTTGATCTCACTTGATCTCCCATAGTGAGGGCAGTTAGACAAAGCTTAATAACAAAGTGAACTCCAGTAAAGGAGGATGGGAAGAAGCACCAACAGGAGGTAAGACAGACGCTTAGCCTGAAGTTCCAGAAGAAATCAATCCAACACATGGCTTGCTGACAGAAACGGGGTAGCAACTTGCTGCCTCCTCCTCTCTAACTCCTCTTCCATCCCTACCCCCTTAACCTTTTCTTACTTCCTTGCCACCAGCCATGCGATCTTTTCCCCTCCCGTGCACTGGCTCTGCCACTTGCAGGACCTTCCCGTAAGTGGATTCAACTCATTAAAGCAGGAGAAAACTGTCTACTTTTTCTGCTGGGGAGTTCTCTGTCATGCTGAGAGTTGATTTGTAGAGGTATATAGTAATTGCCTGACATGAAAATCTGTTAGAGCATACAGGACCAAACAGGAACAGAGGCAGAACTGCATCTTTTTCAGTACTAGTAAGCAATTCAATCTATTTATTCCGACGTACAGCACTGCACCTTTGAAAGAAGTTGGATTAAAGTGGAAGTGGTCAGTCATTAAATGGAGGAAATAAGCACATGATCAACATAAGAGGGAAGCTGTAAAAACACTCCAACCAGAGGAATAAGAGAACGTGAGAAGGAGAAAGGCAGAAGGGACTTTTATTTACTGAATGTGAAAGTAAAATTATTGAAAGCATTCTGGACATACTGCATTTAAAGTAATTCTCAGTACAGTGTATTTCAAACTGTATATAATAGAAAATTTCCTCTAAAATGCCTAAGCTAAGTGGACCATGTATTGTCATCTTCCTGAATAAACAAGTACCCTGTATATTCTAAAAATTAGAGGCAACAAGCTATACCTTGCCTCTATCTCAGTGCCACAGAACCTAACCATACAGGTGTGTTGCTAGAGCTTCTGAGATATCTCATAAGTACCCCCACACAAAAAAATAAGACTTGATGTCTTAAAATTAATTTTCAGAGTATAAAAAATAATACTTACTATTAAATTTTGTTTTGCACAATGTAGTTCAAACATTAGGAAATTCAGACTTGCCACTACAGTAGAGATATCAGCTCTGTAGCGGTCAGAGAACAAGTCGATACCAGGAATAAGCATATTTGTTTCATACTGTGCAAAGTCACAGTCAGATGTCGGATGTGGAAGAGAAGCTCCAAACAGGGTCTGGAAATAATAATAATGAACTACTTGTGAAAAGATGTATAGGCATTAGTGAAACACTATAAAAATCCAACCCTTGAGACTCATAAATTACTTCATAAATGAAACTCGGTCAACGTCTTAAGTATCCAGTTGTTTGCAGACAAAACCATGAAAAGTCTTTTTAGAAAAAATGCTTTATGTGTGAACTTGATGGGGAAAAAAACCCAGGCTGTAAACAGTCTAAGGACAGTATTTCATAGAACAAGCAAAAGAGAAAAACTAATCTAGGTGTAGAAAAATAATCATGAAAGATTCCTCAGCAAGTACTCCCCAGGTAATGAAAAATCTTCCTAGAGAGCCAATGGTGTTTCTCTCAGATTCCAAGTCAAAGCATCCCAAATAAATCTCTGGAAGCACTGGAAAAAACCTAATAAATCACTAGGGGTTCTCACAAAGACTTCTTAGATAATTCTTAGGATAAGCCTCTGATCAGCAGATAGAAAGAACTTGATAATTTATTCAAACATCTCCATAATCAAGGAAAATGCATAGGAAAAAGTTGTTGAGATGATTCTGGGGATGTGTTCAAACATTTCTTTACCAGTCCAAGGATGTTTCATGGAAAGTGTCTTCCATCAGAAGAAAAATCTTCTGATTTTCCCCACAAGCTAGTTTGATTTTACTTAGCCTTAAGTCCTTGCCCCGCAACCACCTCAGCCTTCATTTCTGGGAGAGTTGCTGAGTTTAAGGCCAGTTAAAAGCCAGTTCTACCCTAATTCCACCTTTAACTAGGTCAGCTAGAGCAGCTTAAATCATATAGCTTCAAACTGATGTGAACTTTAAGGAAGTAGCTTAAATGTTCCTCCTTTAAAAAGGGAGGAGTGCTAACATTGTCTCTGATGTGGATATTCCTTCCCAATCGTGTTTATCTTGTAATTAGCAAAGATATGCTAGAGAAATGTGCATTTATGTACTCAGATCTGAGATATTAACAAGCCTAAAGCCTATACCAGAGGTGGAATTTAAATAAGGTTATAAAAGCTTTCCAAATCAAGGAACAAATTATGGGCTTGAACTTCGCAAGGTATAGTGACAATAACTGATTATATTTTTCAAGACACTACCCTGCAAGCCGCTCCTATCACAATTAATATCAGAGCCACTTCAGTCAAGTCACAATTATTTCTACCATTAAACTGGAACAAATGCTTGCTACTATTTCTGTCGAAAGGAGGAATCAAAATTGTTCAGCTTTGTACCACCAGCAATTGCAGTACTAGAAGCTAGTCAAAATTCTTGAGAATGGCAACGAAGCTGGTGAAGGGTCTGGAGCACAGGCCTTATGAGGAGCGGCTGAGGGAACTGGGGTTGTTTAGCCTGGAGAAGAGGAGGCTGAGGGGAGACCTTATCGCTCTCTACAACTACCTGAAAGGAGGTTGTAGTGAGGTGGGTGTTGGTCTCTTCTCCCATGTAGTTAGCGATAGGACAAGAGGAAATGGGCTCATGCTGCGCCAGGGGAGGTTTAGGTTGGAAATTAGGAAAAATTTCTTTACGGAAAGGGTGGTCAAGAATTGGAACAGGCTGCCCAGAGAGGTGGTGGAGTCACCATCCCTGGAAGTGTTCAAAAAATGGGTAGATGTGGCACTTCGGGACATGGTTTAGTCTAGTCTACCCTTGATTGGCTTAGAGTAGACTTGGTAGTGTGGGTTAATGGTTGGACTGGATGATCTTAAAGGTCTTTTCCAACCTAAACGATTCTATGATTCTATGATTCTCCTTTACCTTTGTTTCTTCAACTTCTTCACCCTTTGCTGAACATAACAAGGTTTTACATGTGGCCTAGCACAGGTCACACAGTCACAACCATGGCTGGCACAAGATGCTAGAAAGTGGCATTGGTTTGTTTTGGAAGAAGCCAACTAACTTCCTGATGCTGCACTGGGATGAGCAAGCATTGATCCCAGTGGAGTATGACTGGCAGAATACTTGCAGTTCTTTTTCCTGTATCACTTTTGTTACTGGTATCTTAAAACTTCCTTTTAAAAGTAAACTGAAACCCTTTTTTCCTCTATAGTTGGTTTCTGAAAGTTTGCAAACTTGATTTTAATGATCTTATTTTCTTTGTAAGTGAAACTGAATCATTTTGACTATCCTCTATTTTTAGAGCAAACTTTTTATAGAGCTGAGATTTTCATATTACAAACCAGTATCTTTCAATGCTTAAAAAGATTCAAAAATTTCTTTTTCTAAAGAGTTGGTTCTCCTGGCTGAAAATTTATGACAATCTGTGAAGACTCTGTACAGAGCTGACAGAGAGCACTCTACTATTGTTGATGCCATCCAGCTCCTCCCAAGCAGAACACTTCAAGAGAAGAAAAATGTATTTGACTGCCAAATATTTTAGCCATCTTCACTTTTTGGTATTTCATTATTTCTCTGAGACACTAGCCTCTTATTGAAGTGATAATTTTTAGGCTATAATACACAAATAATGTTATAAAACAGAGAATAAAAACATCTAATCTAATGTGCATAAATTGTCAGCTACCTCTGATCTCCAGTTTTCCTTTGCAATCAAAATGAAAAGAGAAATATTTTAATAGAGGGTTATTGAGATTTAAGTTTTAGAAGCAATTTGTCAACTTCATGAATTTTAACTGAAATTCTATTCTTACCTTAAAAAGTACAGCAGAAAAATAGCAGTATTTAGTTCTTAATCTCATATTTGATGTTGTTATATACCTAAAGTATGACAAATAATAAGAAATATGAATGTGCCCATCAATATAAATTATTCAAACTCTTTTTTTTATCTAGTATAATAATGATACTAACACAATCTAGATGTTTTCCATATTGGAAAACAGCTGCCTGTTCCGTAGATAGGTGCTCAGCCATGCCATGCAAAGAAAGAAGCATTTGACCAAAGACATACCTAGACAAAGGGAGTTGTCTAGATTCTCTTTGAAGTTAAAGGAGAGAAACAGGCAATCTAAGTGCAAAATTCATCTCATATGAAACAAGAAAGATAAAGCAGGTCAAGCAACTCACACCTTAAAGTGTATTTCTTTCCATAAAGGAAGCCTAAGATAACTAGCACATGTGGGCTTTCACAGGGTAGGTGTCTAGCTAGATTAAATGGATCCCACACAGTACCTCATCAGAGCTTTAAACCATCCTGGTAGCAGCGTACTCCTCTGATCTACAATATTAGAAATCTTTAACACAATATTCAAATCCTTTAATCTGCATTTTACAGCCTGAGACTAAGTTGCTCTAGAAAGAGCAACTCAAGGGAAAGGTGTTTAACAGCCCGAGTCAGGCCTGAATAAAAAAGATCTGCCTGAGGGAGAAGCTGAGAGGATAGCTCCCTCCAGATCCCTGCCAGGATTTGGAATGGACATATTAGCAGTAAAGGGATAGTATACAGTGCAGCAAACATGTGCCACAAGCACCTGTAAAAGCAGCTAGGGATTGGGTCTTGCCTGATTGGACCTGAGACTGCACCACAGCTCAGAATTAGAAGAGCTGTGGTTTAGAATCAACTTAAACTCACTCCTTTTCCTCTTGGGTGCTAATTCTGAGAGTGGCAATGCCGTTTCATCCTCAAATACCCATGCTAATACTTTCAAAGCTACCTTGATTTACAGATATTTTACAGTGCTATTGATATGACCTGCTTCTCAGGTAAAACAGTTTACTCAGATGAAGCTCTGCCCTTTCATGAGTACAACACTTCTAAGATCTTTTAGAGCTGGCTTAGATATTTCTAAATTTTATATTTTGTACATTTTTATATTGTACAATACATTGAGGAACAGCTCAGAATTACATCCATAGTGTTTTACCAGCAGTCAGGGAGTACTGGATGGAAATATTTATTGATGGTAGACTTTAATACAGTAATTCAAATTTCATTAAGTTGTAATTCACCAGAAAATGAGTACTTTAGGCAGTAAATCTGCCCACAAGGTACATTAATATTTAATATGTGCAATGACTTGGGAGATGTGATATTTCAATTGAAAATCAATATGACTGTAAAATCCTTGCTCTTATGACTTTTTATCATTTTGTTTTATTTCAATGGTCTCTGCATATAATATACAGCTGCAATTATGATCAAAGATGAGCACTCAAGAAAAGGGAACAAACAATATTCTCCAAAAGAGCAACTTTCTTCCTGAAAGGAAAAATTCCTCTGCTTTTGATGAATCTTTTTTATAGCCGTTTTAATAGTCATTAGTGTTTTAAAATTAATTTCAAGTTGCCTACTGTCCTGGATGAGCCATTTGTTTAAAATATGAAAGAAATACATATATAGATAAAATACTTACTGAGCTATCTTAGCCACTAAGACTGCTGCATGCAAACATCCCCAAACTCCAGCCTGAGAAAGAAATTTCTGACTAATATCAGTCGATCTTCCAACTGCACAGCAGTCTGTAGCATTTTTTGGAAAACCTAACTCTTGCCAGTTGTTAAGAGCATCAGCAATGTTGAGTGTTTCATCAAGGGCTTGACACCAATATTTAAAAGCAGCTCTGTAACACATAAAAAACGTTCTCATCATATTGCTGACATTTTCCAAAGTGGAAGATAAGACTTGCTTCATTTTACCTTTATTGCTTGAGATATAACTAATTCTGATTAGGTCAAAAACTGAAATACAGTTTCTACAACACAAAAAGATACCATTCCTGGTCAACAGACTAAAATTAAATTGTCAAGCAATAGATGTTACTTCTTAAAAACACATAGAGATTCTTAATTAATTTGCTTAATTGCAATTGTCTAGCTAAGAAAAATAAACAATTTCTAGAAAAAAAGCCTCTTAAAATATAGCTAATAGTGAGTTAGATGAAATAAGTTATATGGACTTGAGGCCAGCACAAGAACTTACAAGACAGTTGAAGGGTAAATAAATGCCAATTAAAAAAAATATTAAATGATCCAGTAACTCTGTACCTTTTGTTTCCAGCATAAAAGTGAAGATTTCCAAGTTCATGTAGAGCCTGAACCTTGAGATCTCTCTGGTTGTTTATTTCAAGGATTCCTGTTATTTATTTTTTAATCAATCAGAGAAAAATATTGTCACATGATTAAATCAGTCACTGAATCTTGAACAACTGTTGCATGAGAAGTAGACATGCATTCACATGTAATTCAGTGCATGAATATTTTTTTAAACATTTATTAGGCTTGTATATTTTACCTTCAAATGTACAATTTCTTATTTCTACTAACTTTAAAAACAAGAGTAGGATGTATTTATGGACCTGTTTACCTAAGCTTTTGTATTTTTGTTTTTTCAGACCTCTCAAATTTCTTCCTCTTCAAGAGATAAACTGGGAAGCAGGCTGTTGGCCCTGCTAAACAACACTGCCTGCATACAGCACAGTGGTACTGCCCCTGGCTCGTTTCTGGATCCCTTACTTCAAATAAAACCACTTACGGCATCTGTTGGCCTGCTACACTTCACCTATTTTGTCATACAGTGAAGACAGGTAGTAGTGCTGAGCTGTAACTGTATGAGTAAAGTGATACTAGAAGGTAAGATGGAAGCCAAGCAACTAGGTCTTGTATTCAAATGCACAGAATCCGAAAGGTCTGTTTGCTAGGGGAAAAAAAAAAAAACCTATCATGGAATTAAAATGAACCTGCTAAACATTACAGCAGATTTTAAATTTTTGATTAATCAGTATAACACCACTGAAGTAATGCTTTTTGATAAGAAGGTTGTGTATTTCAGTTATAGCTGTCTGACAGGAAAATAACACTGGAATAAATATATATGAACACAGATAAGCAGAATGATATTACATCTTAGCTGTAAACAGAAATTGATGCGAAAAAATTACCAATTGTTTGTTCATAGGAAGAAATAATTACTGAAAGCTGTGACTGTGGTATTGGTTTACTCTCAACCATACTCGAGAAATTAAATTTTTCTTGAGAAATGTCACGTGGTGTTGGTAGAAATATCAGTTCAGCTCCCACATTAAATTCCAGCTTTCTATTTGAAGAGATATGCCTGCTGATTGCTCTTCCAGCATTTTCTAGACCAGAAAAGTGATTTATATGATCAGTTTGGAAAAGTATTATACTATTTTCAGCACCACAAATATTTCCAAACCACATTACTCAAACAAATACACAATTCCTGTATACTCTATTTTTATCTGTTTTCCCATGCTATGATGCTGTCTGTGAGTCTCCTAATTCAACTCATTGGACACAGCTCATTGGTCAGTGCAACCAAATGAAAATATGTGCTCTGGTGGAGAAATTAAACTTGGGAAGATCTGCCAGTCAGTCCTCTGACAGAGGTTTGGCTGTAGACAGACAAGTGACACACTACATGAAAAAAAATTTATCATCCAACCATGAGACACAAAGCAGGCTTAGAGCTTGTGCTTACAGAACTTCATATATAACTTTATATTCTATGTTTTTTCTAATTGTCAATAACAACTAAAACTTGAACTTAAAAAAATCTATTCCTTTCACTCTTTACTATTTTAACTGCATATACACTTTATTAAGTGAAAAACACTTCCATAACTCACCTTGTGTGTGTGCAAGAAATAATGAAAGTAGTTTTCTGCTGTGTCTCAGTGCTCTGCTGTGATATTTAGATTTTTGTAGAGTTTCTCTAAAACATTTCAGTGTATCATTCACATCAAGAGGTACATAAACTAGTGCTTTCGCTTGACTGTGATCTAAAAGGAATTAATAATTATGGAGAACGATTTTGCATTACATAAATATGTATTTTTAGTAAATGACCCTGCAAAACATATATCTGAGCAATTCTACAACTTCAAAACTAAAATATATTAATGTGATTGCCACTTTTGTTTCCTGTTGTATTATGAATTAAAGCAAAATTATTAACCACCAGGAATACTTCTGAGCATTTATATCTTTTTCAGTGTTACATTTTAGTTGTCATGTGACATCTATATTCCCTGAATTCCATCTGCCCTGGGCATGCCTCAGCTCAGCTCTCTGCTCTGAATTCTGGTGTCTGAAATCTGGAAACAAATCTTTTACTACAGCTGCTGATCCTATTCACTACAATTACCATAGTTTCTATGTACCAAACCTGTGAGTTGGCATGGTCTCTCCCAGAATGCATAATATTACCTACTCTTCTTACCTAGAGCGTTATTTTTTGTTTCATGACTTTCCTCAGCTGAATTCAACACAAAACCTTGTGTGCAATGTGTTGACATATCTCTAATATGAGGAATTATGCTTTACAAACTTACATTCATGACTATAACACTTTAATCCTGACTGAAAAGAACAACAACTGTGGGTTAAAGAGGTGTTTTGTCACCTTATAGTTCACTTCAGCTTTTCTAGTGATTCTGTCAATAACAGTGCAGGTTCACATTAACTTCCAGGTATATTGCTGGATATCCAACAATACCGATGGAAAACTGGACCAAGACCACCAAGCTCACATAACATACTGTAGGTCATCTGGCATCTGGATGACAACTGCTTTTGTCTGCTTTCAGATACAGTCTGAATATATTCGTAAAGGTCTTGACAAAATTACTATCCATCCAAAATATCAAGAATAATAATTTGAAGACAAAACTGAGTTTATATTAAAAGAAACACCTTATAGGAGCAGTGGAAGACTTATGATAAGAAGGAAAACAAAAAAACTATCCAGTACAAAAAAAAAAGAAAGGGTTTGGGAGAAAAGAGAACTCACAATACTGAAATGTGCTCTGACCTGTGTAATCATTTTTCATCTCAGGATAGAAAAAGCATCCAGGAAAAATCTGTTCACTAGCAGAATGGGCAACAGGAAGCTGTAATTTCTGCCCTATGTAGTTTCTGCAACTTATCTGAAAAGCAAGTTTTGTTTCATGATAATTGAATAATATTCAGAAAAATCAATGTTTGGTGCTTAAAGTATCTAAAAACTCAGTCATATAAGAAAATAAAAGAAGACTAACTTACAAAGACCCCAATGACCCATAACTAGTACCCTTGTCAGCAAGAGGTGAAACATTCACAACACCTAAATATTAGATATAACATATAAGTGTTTAGATGTTAATTAATTAAACTTGTATCTTATTTGGTATTTGCCATAATCATGAGCAACTCATTGATGTTCAGCAAATATTCCACCTTTCTTTGTCTGGATAAATGCGTGCTTGCAAAGGACCTGTAAGTGTAAGTATGCCTAAAGACCACACTGCCTGTAAAGGACAATGTAATGCTGCATAGGGATATACAAAACCGCTCTAAGCAGATAACAGAAGCAGTCTAACCCTGTCAGAGAAGCAAACTTTCAGACTTCTATAAAGGGCTAATCCAGCACAGACATTTTATTTTGCTAATGTAGCTACATCACTTCAGAAGCAAGAGAACCAGTTCAGAGCTAGTTCTAGACTCTCTGAATGGCACTGCATTGTGAAATGTAGCCATATCCTCCAAATTTCTAACTTCATGACGTCTTTTTTGACCAATCCTTGTTACAGAATAAAGACTAATGTTAGCTAATAGTAAGTTGTCTTTCAAAACTATGATTACTTTTCCACATTGCTCAGATTACAGCGGTATGCGGTGGTTTGCCACACTGCACTGTTTTTAGACAAAGGACTATGTTCTGAATGGCAGGGCCTGGAAGAAGACAGCAGGAAACAGCCTTACAGAGGGACAAGACAGAGCACCTCAGCTGCCCTTCGCAAGCTGGGAGTTCCTTCTGAGTTCCTGCAAGTCCTGAGCAGCAGTGTGCTGTCTCTAGGCAAGGCAGTGCCTCCTGAACCCCATGTTCACGTTCAGAGCAACAACATTTGGAATTCCAAACCCCACTTTCCCCTGCTCCTTCAAGTCCTGCGTTTATATTAGTAACAGAAACATATTAAAATATCAACCATGCAACTGATGTTAGCAAAACTTCTTAGAAATAAACCTTAGGTTAAAAAAAGAAAAATCCTAATTTTTAATAGCTAATTCCATGAAAAATTTCCAAGTGGCAATGTCAGTTAACTAAATATATAGAGCCATGGCTTTTAATGAGAGGAACTTGCCGAGCAGCTTAGGGTTTTTTGTTGGTGATCAAGTTTTTCAAGTTTTTTATTGGCTTTGTCAGTGTTTAGGTTAAGTCAGTTTGATTAATTTTGGTCTTTAGGAGGAGGGTTCAATGCAGAAACAAAGCAATCTCTTTGCATTTAAATTTAATTACTCACAAAGATTGCACATTGTCCAAATAAATGTGTTCAGGTTAAAAGAGCAGCATCAAGAACTAACATGATATTGATTTAGGCTCATAATATGGAATGGGCACATTATGCATGGAAGAAATGTTCTCTGGGTCATCAAGTCCAGACCTTTGCTGCTGCTGGAATCATGTCATATAAGCCTTTTCATGCACTTCAATCAATTATGTTCATTAATTTATTATAATTTACCATTTGTGAACATTATGAAAAACCATATTAATCTAATCAGTGAAAGTACTTCTCTGTATTTAGTTCACATTAAGAGTCAGTGCCCAAAAAGGAAACCTATGGTTCACCTTATGTGCATTTTCAGACAGATATTTTATGAAATGAGATTCATGGCTATCTGGGCCACTGAATTGCTGTATCCTTTCCAGCAGCTGCCTCTGAGCATACACCAGCAACGGACTCACTTGTTCTGTGTATCTCTCACTGAAAAAAAGCAAAGTATAGTAATTAAGCAAAATAACAGTATATTTAACTATATAATGTTGCTTTTTAGTTATTATAGTTGGTGTAACTTACTGTGTAAATATGTTAAATTGTACAGCTATGTGTACCAGTGCTTCCCACTTCTTCATCTGATATAACAATTCTATTGTTTTAAGAATCAGATTACATGTCCATTTCAAGTCAACCACATTCACGTCATCCAGGGGAGACTGTGGATGGAGATTAGAACCACCATTCTCATCCATAATACCTCCTAAACAACTGGGAATGCAGAAGTCTCCTTCAGGATCCACAATCTACAGTGAAGAAACATTATTCTACCTGTTATTTTCAAACTTGGTTTTAGGACAAATCAAATTATAAAGATCAGAAAATACTGTAATCCTCTAAAAACTTGTTACAGAGAATAACTTGCAGATATCAGAATATATTGCAAGAGAAAGAAAACGATCTCTACTGAAGATGTGATAATAGAGTACACTGCCTTAATAAAAATAATTTTTACCTTAAGAGACCTGCTTGCTTGTAGTTCAGTTATCATATCAATGATCATGTCTGTTGCCAAATAAAATGGCAACCAGATGGTGTTCCTAAGAAAACCCCTGGTAATGGGAAATGCATCCGTATGGGAATGTGAATGGTTAACAATCAATTGTAATTCTTGAGTATAGTTCCAAAGTTCTCGACAAGCGTTTTGAAGCAACGTCCAGTGGCCACCACGGTGAGCAAGAACCTATGCATATCATTCAAAACATAATTATACTTTGGAAATACAGAAATTAAAAGCTTCATTGTTTTATTGCAAAGCTTAGGTATAAGCAATCTTTCAAAATTACAGCCTATGGATCATCCTTAATAACAGATCATTCAATTTATATAAAACATTATAGAACCTTAATTTGGAAATTTTCATAGAAGCACTAATTTATTATTGAATTTAATTGCTGCTTTTGGTGTGAGAATAAGAAATAAAAAATAATTCACACCACCTATACATGTGTTTTTACTTGGTTTTAGAAGGGTTTATGGGAACAGTAGACAGTCTGCATTTCCTTTCAATCACTGGTCCTTCTGCTTATACTACTGAGGCATTCACTAAGACCTGTAAAGGGAAAGGTAAGTCTGCAAGTATTTTTAGAAAGATTTAACAAACATGAGAAGGAAAGTTACAAAGACTAAATGAAAAATAAAACATTTATATAAATTATTTTATGTTTGATAGACATATCCATTATGATAGGTGATATGTCTGACATTTCATACACTGTACTTGGACATTTTGCAGAAGATGAGAAATCATTGCTTTTTCCCACTGGAGTTTTTCTGAAGTTTCTGAAGTGTGGGTTTTTTAATGTAGAAAGTAGTAAGTATTGTAATGCAACAGTTAGTAATAAATAAAATGTTTAATAAGAAAGAGTATCTTACTACTGCTCTTCTTAAATGCAAAAAGATCTTTGTAAAATGCTCCAGTAAAATGGTATTTGACAGAAACTGGTTGCGTTCTTTGGGGGAATGAGAGATGGATATTTCTGTATCATTTGTTGTTTGAGTTCGAGGAGTATCTGTTCCACTCAGTTTAATGCTGCGCTCAGAAGATTTATCTGTACCTGAAAGACAAAAAGTTCACTAGTTAAAAATGAGCTCAAGTTCTCAAAAAAATAAAAAAGAAAATATTATCACCCAGCTAGGATTTTTCTGTGGCAGCTCAATACTTAAATGTTAGGAAATGCCAATGTTAAGGTTATCATATTTATAAGGTTATGATATTTATAATATAAGATGCTTTTACTTAAGTGTTGGGAGAAGCAGGGATAAAAAAAAGTTTGAGCAAAATAATAATGTGTACCAAATACTTCACTTTTCAGCCTCAAAGCCAAAATAGAACCCTCAGAGAAGTTTTAGGAAGAAATGACCATGTGGCAAGCTCCCAAGAACTTTTCTGTAACCGAGGCCTCTTAGAAGGAGAAGTTAGGAAGAAGGGAAGATTTCTGACAAATTCTGTGGTATGTGTAGAATTGCTTCATTATTTTATTCAATACCAAACATCCTCCAAGGGGAAACACAAAGGTTCATGGTAGTGGGATACGGTAATATCTGAGCTATAGGTTTCAGAGGCAGAAGCTAATTTCAAGCTAAACAGTATTTGAACTCTATGGCAAACTAGACACTTCATTAAATTCTTTAATTCAGAATTGCTGCAAAGGCTAGGAGGTAGTAAACAGGATTTTCATTAGTTTTCAGCAACTTTCAGTGACTCAGTTCTCAGTGACTTGTAAGCATCAAGACAAAAGAGTATAACTAAAAGTAAGCTGTTGCAAAGAGAACCAGTGAATTCAGCTGCTTGTTTTTGTCTCATCTTCTTGGAAAAGGCAGAGAGGATGGTTGATTCCTAACTAAGGAAGTCCTACATGGAATGATAGGAGAATTTTGCTCTCTACGGCTGTGGCAAGAATGTGTTCCCTGAAGCACTATTGAAAACACCAGGCTTGTGATTTCTTCTTGAACTTACGGTGGCTAGGCAGACTACTTTTTGTTGACTTGTATGTTATCACCAACGTCTGAGGTAATCAAAGTCTTATATT